CAAGAGGCCTATATTGGAAGGAGTCAGGGGATCTGAGGGCTACAGATGGAGCTAGGAGGGCTGTGTGTGGCCTGCGGGTTGCAGGCTGCTCATCCCTGGGTTAGGAGATCTTGATCAAATAGACAAACTCTCCAACATACACAGTAGAGTGGAGTATTCACCCGGGGTTGCTTGTGTCCATCAAGCCAGGGGAAATGGGGGTGCGGGTCGAGGAGGCAGGACAGGGCTTGGGGTGTAGGGGGAAGAGGAGTGGGGGGTTTAGGAGTCAGGGTTGGAGGTGAGGAGGGTCTCAGGGCAGGAGCTGGGGAGTTCAGAGTCCGAGCAGAGGGTGGAAGTCTTATGGTGGGGGTGAGGGGCACTGGACTTTTCCCGGCATTTGGGAGGGGTGGGGGAGCTCTGGGATGGGGTGGAGGGCTCATGGCAGAGGGTGGGGAGGTTAGGAGGAGAGGGAGCTGCATCCCAAAGTGGATGGTCCTAGCTCTTACCATTTAGAAGGAGTTCCTGAGCAAATGGACTCACGGATGGATGGACGGATACACAGACAGACAGAGGACCAACCCTCTGAAATGTGAAGTGGGCTACTTCTCAGAGGATACCTAGGCCTGTCTTACTCCATGCATTGTTTGCCCACGGCTCAGCCCATGTCCCGGGTGCTTGGTCCGTTTGGACAGGCTGCATTTAGAGCAAGCTCCGCTTCACTCCCCTGAGTGGACCGGTTGATGTTTTACACCCGGGGCCCATGAAGGGGCCCTGCTCAGTGGGGTTAAATTGCCAGAGCTCTGTGAACCCTGCCCTTGGGTTACGTGAGGGCAAGAGAGAGTTCATAGTTCTCTCTTGGTTAAGTCCATGGCTCTGGGGCAGCCTGGCCCTACAGACTATCCTGGGCCGGGAAGCTGAGGGCTTCCTGGCTTCCCCTTTCCTAGCCAGCAGGACTGGGAAACAAACCATTGGGTGTCTAGCCCTGAAGAACTTCATGCGGCCGGCTTACTGGAGGTCCCCCACCCCACCAATAGGCTGTTGAGCCTCTTAAAGAATTTCATGTGGCCAGCTTCCTGGAGGTCCCCCACCCCACCAATAGGCTGTTGAGCCTCTTCTTGGTCATGTGAAGGGCACCTGCTTTGGACCATCCCCATTCTGTGGCTCCATCTTCCACATAAGAATGTGAGAACCATCCAACCCCTCCCATCCAGCCTGCACCTCCAGAATGGATGGTGGGCCCTGGACAGGCCACACACAGAGAGCAATTGGAAGCTTCAGTCAATGATCACACCCTATGCCATTCCATACCTCTATGGGGCTGTCTAAGCACAACCCCTATCCCACACCAACAATGTCCCCTCTGACAGGCCACAGAGGGCAATCGGCCATGTCTCCACACACATCTAAGCAGTCGACCATTGGCTGGCATGAGTAGCCTGGTTACTCTGCGACCCGCAGAAGGGGGTCAATCTACACCAGCCCTGGACAGGACCCTTCCTTTGTGCTGTCTGGGTCCTGGTACCTCCCAGTGAGCGACCTCAAACACATGGGGCAGATGGAGCCATGGGCCCCTCGGGTGGCTGCATCCCAAGCATGGTGGGTGAAATGAAGGACCCGCAGCACCCAGGAGGGGCATTAAAGAAGGGCCCAGGTTTCCAGCTCTGAACTACCATCGGGCATGTGTCACTGCTGGACAGCAGGGCCTGCTCCAACAAATCACTTGGCCAACCCTGGTTTGAGCCTAGGGTCCTTCCATGGACACTGCTGTGGAACGAGACCTGGGGCTAAGCTGTTCCCCTCTGGGCCCAGGGCCACCTGGTGGATCAGAGGAGGTGGATCAGAGTTGGGTGCACAGCCCTGGAGACCGGAGCCAGTTATTTAGCCCCAGAGCAGGGACTGCCGGGCTGCCACTGCAACCAACGCTTCAACGAGCCGGGAGCAGCTCCAGGGCCGGGAGGGGTTTCCAGTCCCATTTAGCCCTCGGACTCCCAGCCAAGGCAAGCTGAAGAGAGGAACTGGGAGTGCCCATCTAGAGAGAGACTCAGCCATTCCGGCCAGCCAGTGATGGGCAGGGAAGAAGCCCTGGATAACACAGGGAAGGAGACATGAGAGCAATCGGCAAG